GAACAAGTTTATTTTCGCTTATGGTTGCAGACAGATAACAGTCGCTAATGGCAGGGAGGCATGACACCTCATTGCAGGCATGGTGACTTAGAAGGACTCTGAGTTTTCACATCCTAAACTGAAAGCACAAAGCAGAGACGGCAAATTGGAAGTAAGGCAAGCCCTGTTAACTAAAAAAAAAAAAAAAAAAAAAAAAAAAAAGAAAAAATTGACATACTTCATCCAGGAAGGGCACACATCCTAAACCTCTCAAAACAGATCCACCAAAAATATCAACTAAGTGTTCCAGTGCCTGGGCCTATAAGAGTACTTAACATTTAAACCACTGCAAGGGCAGAGCTGGGTGGTTCTAAGACAGGATTTTCTGAATTTGGACTTGTCCTATCTTTATCTATCTATCTATCTATCTATCTATCTATCTATCTATCTATCATCTATCATCTATCTTTCATCTAGGTATCTAGCTATCTATTTACCTATCATTTATTTTTGGGTATTTTGAGACAGGGTTTCTCTGTGTAGCCCTAGCTGTCCTGGAACTCAGTCTGTAGACTAGACTGGTCTCCAACTCAGTTTCTCCTGCCTCTGCTTCCTGAGCAATGGGATTAAATGCGCGCACTATCACCATCTGACGTGGACTTGGCCCATCTTCCAGCCATTCCCTGGCTGGGTCTGGATAGAAGTGTTCAGGTTTGGGGTAGGTGACAGAAGCAGTGGGGGTGCTATAATGAGTGCGGAAAGGAAAGCTCCTGGTTGTTGTGGACAAACTTGGTAGAGGCTCGGTCTTACTTTCTAGATAGGTGTTTCTTGATGAGAGCTATAATCACTTTAACCTTATCCTAATAAATAAATTAATTAAAAATTATCATAGAAGTGGGGAAAATACTCTTTATTCCAGAATAATAAGAAACAGGGAATGGACCTGTCTGCTTTATACACAGGCATAGGAAGAGTCTATTAGTACCAAAAGACAAGAAGTATGTATTTGGTAAAGAGGATCAGAAGTATCTACTTGTCTCCTGCGGACAGAAAATATCTGTGTGGTATTCAGGGATAGGTAGTATTCACTTGGCTTTAGCTGTCAATGAACTTTGGTGTGTGTCCTTGGCTGGAAATTAAAATTACAGAGGGAGTGGATATATAGGCTGCATCTCCATATGCTAAAGAGATACTTAAACAAAGGCTTCTGCATGAGGTGTCATTCATTGCTAGCTTTGCCCCAGGCCCCGTCTCTTAATTCTGGAACTCTGTATTGTTTCCTCTCCTCTTTGAAGTAACATAAAGGTAGATCCGGTATGTTAATTGTGGAAACACTTTTGGTACTTGCTGTGGTCCTAGGATGCATTCTCTGTGATGGAGAAAAGCTACAGGAAGCAAACTTTCCAAGGACACTGCCTCATCAATATCAGCCTCGGGGTTCCACAGCCTTTACACATTCATCTCTTCCTGTTCTGTGTCAATTTCAATAGTGGGGCTTGCCCTGGGGCTGGAAGAGACACAAGTTTGAAATGAATCAATGCCCTATAAGCCCAGTGCTCTGCTACAAGCGAGGCAGAGCAATTATTACCCAACACGCTGTCCCTGCCTTTTCTCAAGGACAAGCAGACTTGAATCCATCATAGCCCTGCCATTTAAGATGTGCTTTCAGCTGCAGTGGCTGCTCTGCACAGCCATCCTTCACTCATACGTGGTGTCACTCATCCAAGAAGGACAATCAGCACCAAGAAAAAGGAAGAGACAGAGTGCTTTAGTCTAAAAGGTAAACTGAGTCAGGGATGGCATTGCTCTTAGGAAAGAAAAGCAGATTTTCTGAAAACTATCACAAGCATTTTTATTTCATCTAGACTCTTCCCTTTTTTCAAAGAGGAAGAAGAGGGAGAGAGAGAGAATATATGTGTATGTATTAGGTGGGAATACACATGTCGGCATGTGCAAACACATGTGTATGTATGTATATGTGTGAGTGCTTGTGTAGGTGCGTGCGTGCGTGCGTGCATGTGTGTGTGTGTGTGTGTGTGTGTGTGTGTATGTATGTGCATGAGTGTGTGTGCTTGTCTGCACAGTGGTTTGGATTCCCACCATAGATGCAAAGAGGTCTTGGTTTCATATCCCATATGCATTTCATTAGTCTGTGATGAAGAATGTTGAGAAAACCATGTAGTTTTACCTTGATGTGTTCTCATTCTAATGGTGGACCATGAACTAGCCAGCAGAGGGTAATCACAGAAACAGGGAGATGGATAAGCAAGAGTGCCGAGGTGATACTTCCTGTCTGCTACATACGGTTAACTGATCTTGGGAAGCAGCACGGTCAGAAAGAGGATGTGAAAATGGAGAGGGAGGTAGAGCAATATGCTAGGGCTAGGGGCTTTCTGCAGAGCAATGGTAGGAGTCTTACCCATTTGTGCTGGCTAAGTTTTTTTGTCCACTTGACACAAGCTTAGACATATTTGGAAGACAGAATATGAACTGAGTAAATGTCTCCATAAGATTGGCCTATACAGAAGTCTGAAGTATTTTCTTGATTATGGATTGATTTGGGGAGGCCCAGCCCACAGGGGGAAATGTCCCCGTTGGGCAAGTCTTCTTCAAGCAGGCTGAGCCAGCCACAAAAACAAACTGGTAAGCAGTGTTTCTCCGTGGTCTCTGCTTCAGTTCCAACCTTCAGGTTCCTACCATACATGTCTGCCCTGACTTCTCTGGATGGTGGAATTCAATAAACTTGTTCCTCTCCAAGATGCTTTGGTTTTTGGTGTTGCATCAGAGCCATAAAAAAAAAAAAGACAGAAATTGGCTTCAGGTACATGGGATATTTCTGTGACAGACCTGACCCTGTGTTTTGAGGAGGACTGTGGACCTGACCCTGTGTTTTGGGGAGGACTGTGGTGGCGTTAAACTTTGGGCTGCAAAAGACAATGAGTGTTTAGATTCCAGGGGAATGTTCCTTGGGAACTTGGAAGATAAAGAGTTTTGAGAAAAATGCAGACAATAAAAGCCTAGTTTGTAATGGTTTGAAGAGGTTTTGATAGTTGTTTAAAGACCTATTGGAACACCTAAATATTCTGAATTAAGAATTTATTGTTCTGAAAAGAATTTCTGGTTCTGATCCCTCAGAACTGAAGAACTGGCTGTGATTAACAAAAAACCAGAATCACTAAAGTAAAACCTTTACTTTGTCGGGACATTCAATACTGGTCAGCTGGGGCTAAAAAAACAGCTATGATTAAAATGAGACTGGCATCATTGAGACAAAATCTTCTTGTCAAGTGTTTTCTCTGTCAGTATGCAGAAGCCGTGTTCCAGAGGCAGTCAAGGTTTCCTCCCATGCTGGCAAATGAACTGTGTAACCTGTGAGAATCCCCCAGGAGCTGTTGGATTTGAAGGCCTGAGGGGGTCATGGAGAGCAGTTAAAGCTTGATGCTGTATGCCAGGGCTGGAGTCTCTAAGGAGAGGACAGGAGAGGACATTTAGGAAAGTTACAGCCTCAGTTGCAGTAGAAATGCCAGGATTGAAGGGGTCATGGAGAGAAGTTAAAGTTTCACACTAGTTGGCTTGATGAAAGTCTTAGAAGAGAGTCTGAAGATGCTACTGGTGAAGCTATAGGCCAGTTGCAGTGAAAAACCCAGCACTTTGTAGATGCTTTTGCTCTAGGATGATTACCAGGAACAGTAGTGGGCATAGACTAGGGATAGCCTGAGTCCACAGAGAACCTGCATGTGTTCCAGATGACAGAGCTAGAGAAGCAGATTTTTCTAAGCCTTTGGAGCCCAGAGGATAGGGAGTGAATCTCAAATATCCAACACTTAGCTTCTTATACTATTGAACTTGAGTTTGCTTTGATCTGATGGTAACTGTACCCTGGTTCTTCCTTTTTGAAATACAAAGTATGTAACTTAATTTTGATTTTATGGGAGCCCAGTTATTTTTTTCACAGGTTTTACAGAAATTTCAGATGCTTTCAAGATATTTGGAATATTTTAGAGATTCTGGATATTTTAGAAAGATTGTTTCGTATTTTTAGAGTGACTTTGTAGGTTTTAAAAACACTATACATTTAAAGTCGACTCCTTAAAGTTTCTATTGCTGTAAAAAATACATTGGCCAAAGTCAGCTTGATGAAGAAAGGGTTTATTTACTATTGTTTGACATTTTAAAGAGTGTATGTGATTTAAAATTTGCAATATTCGTTTGGTGATGTGGGCAGGGGAGAGATGCCAGCCCCCTCCTTCCCCACCCGCCACTTGGGCAAGTGGGAGAACTGGCCCTGAATCATATGAGTGAGAGAGTTGTGCCTTCCCATCACCATCTGCATTACTTGGGAGCGTGGCCCCTGCACTTTGCCTGGGAAACACAGTAGAGCTGGCCCTGATGGTGTATGTGAGGGAAGGCTGACCCTGAGGGCATGAAAGGAGGAGAACTGGCCCTATCCCTTGCTCATTGCTGCAAGGGGTGATCCAATCAGGGCAATGATGGAGAACTCACCCTGGTGGTGAGGACAAGGAAGAGCTGGTAGGCTGACTGCTGTGGATATTCCTTTGTATAAATAAAATGCTGATTGGCCAATAGCCAGGCAGGAAGAATAGGTGGACAAGCAGAGAAGAGAATTCTGGGAACAGGAAGGCTATGTCAGAGAGATGCTGCCAGCCATGAAAAGATGTTAAGATACTAGTAAGCCACGAGCCACATGGCAACTTATAGATTAATAGAAATGGGTTGATTTAAGAAATAAGAAAAGTTAGCAGGAAGTCTGCCATGGCCATACAGTTTATAAGTAATATAAGTCTCTGTGTGTTTACTTGGTTGGGTTTGAGCAGCTACGGGACAGGTGGGTGAGAGAGATTTGTCCTGACCATGGGCCAGGCTGAACTAGAGAAAACTCTAGCTACAGCTGACCAACACTGCAACTATCCAGGTCCAGAACCAGGATTATGAGTTGGCCCTCCCCAACATCCCTCCCATTGTGACCTGGTGGAGCATGGGAAGGGGCCAGACCTGCAGACCCAAAGCTTCAGGATCTCCATGACACAAGGCAACAATAGACTATTCAAGAGGAATCCCAGCGAGGGAACAGCATCAACAGTGTAGCAGAAACCAGAGGACTCAAGCCAAACCAATGACTCTTTCAAGTGAACTCTTGTGAGTAAAGACAGATGGACAAAAGGCTTTCCTCTTTGATGTAGTAAGATTTTTCTTTGGGCCACCAGTTCACAAACAAAAGAGCACAGAGACTTCTTATTAATTATAAAAGCTCGTCCTACAGCTTAGGTTTGTTTCTAACAAGTCCTTATAACTTTAATTGACTTATTTATATTAATCTATGTTCTATCACATGTATTACCTCTCTTCCATCTTGCACCTCCTGTTTCCTCTCCATCTCCTGCATGCCTACATCTCTCCTCCTTTTCCTTTATATCTCCAAAAATCCTGGCTATACTGTTTGCCTACCTAATGACCAGTCATCTTCTCATTACACAAATCAGAGAAAAACACCTTCACACAGTATACAAATATCCCACAACAGTATGACTCACTGCCACACTACAGCTTCCATAATGAGATTGATTTTTCTTTTTTTTCTCTCTTTCCTTTGTTTCTCTTAAGTTTTATTTTATTTTGGGGGGAGGATTTCAAGGGCAGAGGGTGGATACACTGGGATGGGAGGAAATGCATGGTATTGAGATGCATAATGTGAAAGACACAAAGAATAAATAAAAAGAAAGTTTTAAAAAGTTGCAACATTCTGTATTGTGATACTAGTATACTTTTATAACTTGGAGATAGATGAAAAAAGAAATATTATAGCTTAACAAGTCATGTGTTTGTGTATCAATTGTGTTGGTTGGTTTCTGTCAACTTTTGACACAAAACTAGACATATCTAAGAAGAGAGAAACTTAATTATGAAAATGTCTACATAGACTAGCCTGTAGACAAGTTTATAAGGTATTGTCTTAATTAATGCTTGGCGTAGAGGGGGGTGGTCATCCCAAAGTGGGCAGTGCCAGCTCTGGGCAAGGGGTCCTGAATGAGCAAATCATGAAAGCAAGCAGGTAAGCAGAACTCTTTTATGGTTCTTGCCTTGAGTTCCCTCAGTGATGGAGTTTGAACTGAGAGTTGTAAGAAAAAATAAACTCTTTCTTCCCCAAGCTGATTTGGCCATAATGTTATATAACCACAACAGAAACTCTGAGACAGTCCCCATGTTGTCTCAGGAAAATCATGGGAGAATATTGGGAGTCTGTAACTTGCTAACTTTAACATTTCTTTCAAGTGGAGATTCCCTGAATGCTTCTTATCTTATTAAATGTTTTATGAATTGAGTTGTGAAATGTGTTATCCACCTTATCTCTTTTTAAATAAAGTATTTTTGGCAAAAAGATAACTATATTCATATCTGAATTCTAACCATTCTCAGTTCATATTTGTTTCATGTTGTCATGAGATGTGATATTTGTATTTTTGGCAACTGTTCTTCTGACTAAAAAAGGGAAACTTATTTTCTTTGTTTACTTTTATCCTTTCAACAGTGGATACAGTTAGAATATTGCACACAGGTACTGTTCCAGATGATATCATATGTCATTCACAATCTCTTTTACAAGAGCCCATTTGTACTTTACCATGAAGGAGAAATCAGTAAGTGCATTGATTAAATACATCTGTGTTAACTTCAGAGTCAGCAGAATGCCTGGTGTCACATTAGCAAAATAAGTCAAAACACTTCCTTCTTTGAGTAGATAAATCAAGAGCGAGCAAGTGTCTGAATTCTGTTTCTGTCCTTGTGTATTCTGTCTGTTTCCTGGCTGTTGCATGAGTCTGATTCTGCCTGAATGCTATCTTGTTTGTCTCTATGTCTGGCTCTCTTTTTGTGTCTCTAATAAAAGGTTTTTGCTCTGTGTTTTAACAGAACAAAGGAAGGCATGATGGGGAAATAATGAGGCATATTTCATGGAAATCATTAGCAGAGTTTTACAAGGGATGATATCTTATAGACTTTGACTGACCCGAAATTGCCGAAATATCAAGAAAGCCAAGCCAATATTATCAAGAAATATCTGTATGGTGCTTTTAATATTTATGGTGAATATTTCTTCAACTTATTTGCCGATTTCAGCATTTATAACATACATACATACATACATACATACATACATACATTCAAATAATACAGGACGACATACAAACATAGTTTGTTCTCTGGCTAAGGAACATAGACAAGAGTACATAATTTAAGAGTTAACTATGCATTACTTTCTGTTTTAAATAATAATTATGTGGGAGATCCTAGGCAAGTAAGGATACTTGTTAATTGTTCTCTTAAAAGCAGATTAAACAAAGAGGCTGAGTACATAGTAGAATGCCGAGGACAATTTCAAGAGCCATGCCATATTGCCTGCCTGAGTTAAGTTTCTGTTGTCCAGTATTGAGCCACTAACCAGAAACTTTTGACGTGCCTGGACAAGTCCTGAGCTATTAGAAAATAACTTAACATTTCCTTATCTTTCTGCTACAGTGACCACTAGTAACAATGTTTTGTGGTTAGGTTGCTTGGTTGGGTTGCTTGTCAACTCAACAGTCCCCTGATCTTTTCCCAAAGAAAGTTTCCTGGTCTGTTTCTAAAAAACCCACCTGAGAAAAATAAAATTTTGCAGCTTGATCAGAATACTGTCTTGCTGTCAATTCTTTGTGTCTCTTGTTCCTTCATTCCCCCTTCTAAGGTCTTTGCTGAAGATCCCGCTGGCTGGGACAACTGGCGCCCGGCGTGAGGCTCTAGGACGTGGAGGAGTGGTGAACGTCGTCACACACCAAGGCAGGCCTGCCTAAGAGTTGTACCACTGTGGAAGATGGCTCCACGATCGAGGGTCCGGTCAGTTATCGCTACGGAAACTCCTGGCCATGAGTCAGATCTGAAGGAGTTTTAACGTGACGACACAAGGTAAGTTTACCATGGGACAAGCATGAAATAAACAGGATTTGTTTATTTCGGGACTGAAACAGTCTCTCAAGACACGAGAAATTAGGATTAAAAAGAAAGACTTAAAAAAATATTTATTGACTATATTGGACTATGTCTGTCCTTGGTTTCCTTAAGAAGGAACCATAGATGAAAAACGCTGGAGACAGGTTGGTGACTGCTTAAATGATTTTTACCAGACCTTTGGTCCTGAATAGGTCCCCATCCAAACCTCTTCCTACTGGAATTTAATTAAAGATGTCTTAAAAACTTATAATCATCCCCCTAATGTTCAAAAATTAATTAAGGAAGGAAAAAAAGCCCTGAAAGTGTACTCCCATCCACTTTCTGTCTGTCATTCTGTCAGTATTAATATTCCTGAACCCCCCATGTCTAGTCTTCTGGCAACAAATAACTATCAGAGAAGAAAAAAAAGAAGGAATCCCCTACTCTGGGTCCACCTACCCACCTCTCCCTCAAAGGTGCTAGCCACTTATCCATCTTTAATGGCCAAGCTAATGATTAAGGGCAGAGAAACCAGTCACCGATACTTTGGAAAAGATCCTGATTCCATAGTCGTCCCCTATACGTGAGAAAAATTAGATTGGCTGCTTCTAACAAATGTTGAATGGCCCATTGGCTGCTCCTCCTTCCTTGGTACTATCGATAACCATTATCCCAGTGATCCCTTGTTACAGTTTACCAGAATTCATTCCTTTGTTTTCCCCAAATTAACTGCCTCACAACCTATAAGGGAGGCTCCCCTGGTATTTACAGATGGCTCAGCCAATGGAGTTGCCCCCTATGTTGTGAATGGAAAGGCTACCTCCTGCCTCTCCCCATATTCCTCAGCACAGCTTGTTGACCTTTATGCAGTCATTCAAGTTTTTCAGTTATTTCATTCTCAGCCCTTTAATTTGTATACTGATAGTGCTTATGTTGCCCATTCTCTCCCCTTATTGGAAACTGTTCCCTTTGTTAAACCCTCTACCAATGCAGCTCTACTTTTTCTTCAGCTTCGCTCCTTGATTATGGCTAGACAGTGCTCCTTTTTTATTGGCCATCTACGGGCCCATTTAAAACTGCCTGGTTCTCTATCTGAAGGAAATGCGTTGGCTGATGCAGCCACACAATTACTTTTTCCTGTTCTTGCAGGATCCCTTTCTCAGGCTGCCCAAGCGCACTCTCTTCACCATTTAAATGCTCATTCCCTTCATTTGTTGTTTAAGCTTACCTGAGAACAGGCCTGAGAAATTGTTAAAAATTGCACTGACTGTGCTGTCTCCCTCCCTGTTCAACATCTGGGAGTTAATTCCCAGGTCTTGGTTCACAATGAAATTTGGCAAATGAATGTTACTCATTTAATTGAATTTGGCAAACTTAAATACATACATGTTACAGTTGATACCTTTAGTGGTTTTATATTTGCCTCTCTCCAGGCTGGAGAGGCCTCCAGAAATGTTATTTCCCATATTTTAGAATGCTTTTCTGTACTAGGAAAGCCTAAATTTATAAAAACTGATAATGGCCCAGGATATACTGGGAAAAAAATTTCAATCTTTTTGCCAACAACTTCAGATTAAGCATTTCACTGGCATTCCTTACAAACCCCAGGGCCAGGGCATTGTTGAAAGTGCTCATCAGACTCTAAAATCTATGCTTCAGAAATTAAAGGGAAGCCTTTATGATACACGAGGCAGCCCCCGAAATCTTTTACATCATGCCCTTTTTGTCCTTAATTTCCTTACCTTGGACAAGAATGAAAGGTCTGCAGCGGATTGCTTTTGGCATCCACAAACTCAACACCACCAAGCACTGGTCATGTGGCAAGACCCCTTAACTGCCCAGTGGAAAGGGCCCGACCCAGTCCTGAGTCAAGGGTCAGCATGCATCTATGACCAAACAGAGGGAGGCCCTCTTGGTTCCCTGAGACATTAGTTAAACAAGTCAACTCTAACCAATCACCTAGGGAAAAGGATAGTCCCTAAGGTTGTTTCCCTTTCCTTCTCCTTCTTTACAGATGCTGATGAAGAAAAAACTAGGAGAATTTCCCTGGATATTCTGGATCTTGCTGTTGCCTTTACCTTCTTATCAGGACCAGAGACCGGTGGACACATCCCCATTTGCATGGTGCTTTTATTTGACTGAAAATTATACTAATTATGCTAAAACACAGACCTTTGGTCACCTATTGGCTACCACTGATTGCCCCTTGCAAAGATGTCAGAATCTCATTTTACTCAACTTGACTGATTTCCATAATTCCCCCGGCAAGGTGGCTCCTGCTATCTGTTTTTTGTATGATCAGACTGTTCACAATTGCAAAACTTATTTGAAAGAGAAAAGCGTAGGATGCCCCTATTCTTACTGCAAAATTCATGATGCCATTCCTCCTGCTAAGGGACAGGTAATTGGGAGAGAATGGAACAGCCTTAAATTTTATAAGACATCTACAAGATATTCCTTAGTTGTTTGGGTCCCGTGGGACTCACGATGGACTAGTCCAGTAGAAGGAGCTATGAATACAGCCCAAACAGCCACATGGCCTAGCTCTAGACTTTACATTTGGCGCTCTTATGTACAAGTACAATCTACAGTCCATCATAATATCCTTATACAAGAAAAAATTTAATGACACAAATATCATCCCCCTCCTCTCCATTTTCCTGCCTTTCCCTCCTTCGAGAAGGCCTTATGTTTGCCAATTTTACTGGCATTGGGACTCTCTCATTGTGCTTCCTAAGTGCAGCCTTGGGACGTCCTCCCCTGATAGCAGTGCCCCTGCCTGAGGTCCTTAATTGCACCACCACTGATAATTCCCATGACGTCCACCCAATCCCTGAAGTGCCCTTGTTTCATGACCCAGGCCGCTCCAAGTTTGATTTTTGCTTTTCTAGTGTATCCCTTCCCTTTTGCAACCAGACTGTATTACCCAATCATCCTTTTGCCCCCCCCCCACCCCGTGGATTTTTCTTTTGGTGCAATGGCACTCTATCAAAAAATTTGACCATCCCTATCCCACAGGACATGCTCTGCCTACCTGTTACTCTGGTCCCACAACTTATGTTCAGGACCCCTGTGGAGTTCTTGGGGTGGGTCTCGACCCAGCCCAAGCAAAAAAAGAGCTGTCTTCTTGCCCCTTGTGGCCGGAATTTCCCTTGCCACCTCACTGGTCTCTGCAGGCTTGGCGGGAAGAGTTTTGGGTCACTCCCTCATAACAACAGCTCACCTATCCAAGCAACTTCAGGTAGCAATTGAGGCTTCTGCAGCATCCTTATCCTTCCTCCAGAGGCAGCTAACCTCTCTTGCCCTACAAAACCGACTAGTGACAGCAGAAAAGGGTGGGACATGCGTTTTTCTGAGGGAAGAATGTTGTTATTATATTAATGAGTCTGGAATGGTAGAAACCCAGATAAATAAGCTACATAAACTTAGCCTAGAGCTACATAAGCAGCAATTCTCTGCGGCAGCAGATGATTGGTGGAAATCATCCATGTTCTCCCTTTTGGTGCCTTTGAAGGACCGTTAGTCAGCATCTTGTTATTTGTAACTTTGGATCCCTTTATAATTGGCAGGCTAATCCTATTTATCAAAAAATAAATAGACTCCCTGGCATCAAAACCTATACAGGTTCATTACCATAAGCTCAAAATGCTGGATCGAGGATGTGATCTCTATGATATTTCTCAGTCCTTTTCTCCTTTAGGAGCAGCATAAAGTCTGAACCTATGCTTATTGGCATCAGCCGGTATGGACACCACTGGGTGCAAGGCCAAGCACTGCAGGGGAAGGCTGATTTAATAGCCCTTGGTTCAGATTCCCTGAGAGACAAACCTGACTTGAATAGAGGTTGGTATCTAGAGACACCAAAAATGCCTAAGCCCTCTCCTCCTCAAAAGGTACCCTTTTTTCTCAAGCCCAGAGCGGCTTTAGGAGGAGTCAGGTCAATGTCTCTGCCAGACGGTTAAGGTCCCAAAGTTGGTTCCAGAGTTGGTACTCCCAGTCCCCCTGGCTTACTACTCTAGTCTCATCCCTCATAGGGCCCTTAATACTTTCCTTGATGGCCATCACGTTTGGACCTTATGTGATAAACAAGCTACTACAGTATATGAGACAAAGACTAGGTACCATACAACTCATGGTGCAACAGGGTTATACTCAAGTCAGGACCACTGAGTATGAGTCATATGCAGACCCCGAAGTGAGGACATGGGAATCTCATGAACTAGAACAAGTTAGGGGCCCATGATTGAGCCCCTCTAGGACCAAGAGAAGGAGGGAATGAGAGACCCCCACCCCAGTTCCCCCTAAGGCCTGGAGAGCTGAGGAAAGGGACATCTTAAAATAGCCAGAACCAAGTCAGTTCCCCATTCCCAGACAGGGTGAAGTCAGAAGTTTTAAAAGTACAAAATCAGACTGTCTGGTGGTAACTAACCACGAGATGCCCCTCTCCCCTGAGATAACATGACCAAAATTTGGAGATGGGCTGTAAAACTCCTGACAGAGCAAAAAATAAGATAAAAGTCCAAACTCAGGAAAACTGGACCAATCAAGGGTGGACTGTACTAACCCCCTCCTCTCTGAAGAATTTTGTGGTTTTTGCCTTCAAAAGCTAATCTCCCCAAGAAAGAGGAACTCTCTTCTCTGCCTCACTGTGCCGGGCACTGCAGACGAGGGTCCCTTGCTAGCTTGTATTGCGTCAAGAAGTAAACGTTGCTATTGCATTCTGGATATCTCTGGTCTCCTGGTGGTCTCTTTGGGCATCCTAATCTGGGCATAGCACCACCACCGTTCAGGTGGGCTCACTCCCTCATAAAATAAAAGAAAGGGAGGAGATGCTGAGGACAATTTCAAGAGCCATGCCATTAAGTTTCTGCTGTCCAGTATTGAGCCACTAACCAGAAACTTTTGACATGCCTGGACAAGTCCTGAGCTATTAAAAAATAACTTAACATTTCCTTATCTTTCTGCTACAGTGACCACTAGTAACAATGTTTTGTGGTTAGGTTGCTTGGTTGGGTTGCTTGTCAACTCAACAGTCCCCTGATCTTTTCCCAAAGAAAGTTTCCTGGTCTGTTTCTAAAAAACCCACCTGAGAAAAATAAAATTTTGCAGCTTGATCAGAATACTGTCTTGCTATCAGTTCTTTGTGTCTCTTGTCCCTTCATTTGCCATTCCCCCTTCTGAAGATCCAGCTGGCTGGGACAATAGAATATCACTCTGAACTGTTCTTAAGGTATTTTATTAACTCTGGCTGTGAGGTACAGCAAAAGTTACAGTCTCTTAGAATGTAAGAGATGTTTCCATTCTAGTGTATTACCACATCCACATACTGTGGTGAGTAACTTTATGTCAAGTTGACACAGCTAGAGTTATTTGAAAGGAGGGAACCTCAACTGAGAAAATGGTTCCATAAGATCAGGCTTTAGGACATTTTCTTAATTAATAATTGATGTGGGAGGTACTGCCCATAGTCAGTTGCCATACCTGGGCTGGTGATCCAGGATGCTATTATAAAGCAGGCTGGGCAAGCCATGATGAGTAAGACAGTAAGCAGTACCCCTCCATGGATTCACCATCAATTCCTGTCTCCAGGTTCCTTCCATGCTTGAATTCCTGCTCTCGCTGCTTTTGATGATGATCTGATATATGGAAATGTAAGCAGTAGTAGCCATGATGCTTTATTACAGTAACTGTGAGAAGTAGCAACTCTAACTAAGAATGTATATGATGCTGATGGCTGCTTTGTTCTATGTTAATCTTAAATGCAGACTCTATCTAGACAGCCCAGAATGTATGTAAGATTCAATGACCTTACTATATGTGAACCATACCCCTGACACTCAGACACACAGTAATGATGAGAAAGAATCTCAGTGACAAAGCCTACTGGGTCAGAAGGAAAAGGCTAACTTTGTAGACCCACCTGGCCATTGAAATGAATTGATTTTGTTGTAGTTATTGATCCAGGGAAAGCAGAGTCCTTGCTGATTTTCTAGATTATAATATCTCTGAATAAAGAAAGAATGGAATGATTCAACCCTTGAATTTCGTTTATGAATGCACAGCACAGAACACTTAGAATACTTAGGTATTCTCACTTAGGTCTACAAATCATTCATTCACAAATCAAGACTGTATGGCCAATGCACGCAAAGAAACAAAAAAAGGAACATAGAAATTTTTCTTTAGGAAGCACAGACCTTGAAATTATTAGTCAAAAATTTAATTAGTCATTGTGTATGGGATTGATCCAACTATAGGAAGAAAAAATATTAAACCAGCTGAATACAATTATAAAAATCTATGGGAACATTAATAGGATCATAAATTTAAACTGTATTACATAATGGGGTTCCATGATTGTGGGAAAGAGAAAGTATAACTAGAGAAGACAGAAATAATAGACAGATGGATTACTGATGACAGATAGATACATGATAAATTTAAAAAATGATAGAAGTTAGATGTGACAATGATAGATATAGGTGATATTTGACAGTTCTTAGGTAGATAGATAGATAGATGATAGAGAGATAGATAGATAGATAGATAGATAGATAGATAGATAGATAGATAGATAGATACATAGATAGATACATAGATAGATGGATAGATAGATAGTCAGTCAAAATGGGGTTAACAAACAAAAGTATCCTACTGGCTACTAAAAGCAAAAATATAAAAATCCCTGTGACAGGATTATCTATATGGGGGTCATTGACCAGTGAGTTACCAAGGACCCAATAACTCTACAGTCTCTTGTCAATGCTCTTGGTTACCATCGAGAACAAGAGATAAAGACACTCACCATGTAGTTTAGTCATAGAACATGTAGAAATAATGTTTGTACTGACCTGGAAGCTTCATCCCTGGTTTTCATAGTTCTGGAAGGTGTTGTGTGCCCTGGACAGCAGCACCCTAAGGATGGAATGATAGAGACAGGTGATACAAGGAAATACACCAAGTCTAGATTCTGATCAAGGTGCAACTTAATTTTTTTCCAGGAGGGTTTATATAGTTACTGCAGGGTGGGGGGAGCAAGAAGTTGTCATCTGTATAAGGTGGGGCAAGCTAACAGTATGTTTGTATAGGATGTTTACAGGGTGAAAGGGTCAAGGGCTCTGATTCAATGTCCTGTTGCTAGGCAACCTGACTGTAAGATGGTCTAGTTCCCTGTCTTATCAGGGGTCTGTATTTTTCCACTAACTAGAGATTCTGTCCTTGTCCCTGACAGTTGTGTATGTTAATGGAGGAGAAATGTAATCATCAGCTTACCCAAGAGTGAGCCCTGTGAGTTACTATAATAGTCAGGCTGACAAAACATACTCACTGTTGCAATACTGGCACAAACGATGTGAGAGTAACTAACTACTTTCTGATTGGATTTAAAGATTGGCCAGAAATCAATGAGTAGACAGATGATA